CAGAAACCTCAGATAGACCCCGGCTCTAGGTGGGTGGCCGTCTGCCTCGACTAGTTGGCATACATCTTTATTTGTTCTTACTGTCTGGGAAATGACAAATACTAATAATGTGTAAGTCTATATTGTCTGTCTTCACTACCCAGTCTACAGCTCTCTCACCCCAATTAGTTCTTACCTCAGACTATTAACATGTCACAAGTACATTTTTTTTAAGCCTCCGTATTTTCCTGAAACAGCTAGCCACTGTAGTTTCTTGCAAATGTTTACTCAAAAAGGAGTAAAAAGTACATTTGTTTTTTTAAAACCCTTTTTGTTGTGCTCTAGTGCAGTGATTCTCATCGACAGGTCTATGACCAGGTATCCAGCGCCATAACTATTGTATATGCAAGGTATGCCATTTCATAGGACCCCGCAGCTGTAATGGGTCAGTTTAGGACTCAAATGCTCATCCGAGAAGTAGTTGTCAACCTCCATCTAGGTTTTGGGGATGCTTCATCCATGTCAGAGGACATGGCGATGGTCAGGCGGTTTGGACGGTTGAGGACACGGAGCCCTCCAGCCAGCCCCCCTGGCAGAAGTAGCCGTGGGAGACCTAAAAATAGGTAGCTGGATGATCTCGTGGTGGTTTCCGGACAGGAGCATGTGTACAGGTACTGTCGTTTGAGTGATCGTCCCGAGAAGGTGTCCATCGAGGGCGTTGGCGGGGACAAGGCTTGGAAGAGGAACCCACTCGATACCGAGTTGTCGAGCAAAGTTGTCATCAATCAGGCTGACACCTGAACCAGAATCTATGAACCTGGCGAGGGTGTGGGAACCCTCGGGCAACAGCAGCCGGGTGTGGCACAAGGGACATAGATTGGAGGAGAGGTTGCAGGCACAACTCACCAGTATTCCCCCTCTACTGGTGTGTGCACACGATGGTATATGTGGCAGTATGATCAGAGTCTCTGAACCACGGAAACTCACAGGAGAAGAGATGGTCAAACTCATACTGTGTAGTCACAGTGGTGGGATGGTCAAAGGCAAGCAGCGTCGAAACCGGGAGATTTGTCCGAACAACGCTAGAAGGTCTTGCATGAATACAATGAACAATATGGCAACGAGTAAATGGTGAGGAGCACTTTATGAACTGGCTTGATTGGTGATCAGAAGCAGTTTGTGTGCACAGGTGAGCAGAGTGGCTGATGAGGAGGCGTGGCTGACTGGAGCAGGGGCAGTTTAGTGGAAAAGTACTGAGATGGCTGAGTTGAACAGATGAGAAGGGAGGCAGACTGTGAAAGCAGCAGTCCAGGGCCTGTTATGTTGTTAACATTAGCTAATTTGAGATGTGACTATATATATGTCACTTTTATTTTTTAACCATCTTCAAAATGTTGTTGTCTTTTCAAAATAGACAAGGCTCGAGCATAGCATATCTAAGAAAGAAGTTGACCGAGGTTCCAAAAGCTTAGGAAGAGTGAATTATTTAAGTATCTGTAAATAAACTTTCTACAGATCGACTTAATGAATACTTCTTCTTATCATTACAGGGGATGTTTCTGAGACCGACACAAGATTATAACTCTCTAACTGCACTGTGAATGAAATATCGCAGGCCACAAAATGTTGAGAAACCCAGTCATGAAATGTCAGGGAAAGAACTTAAAGACACTGACTTTTTGGTTCTCATGATGAGAGTTGCGAAGGAGAGACTCTGGTGGCGTTCGTCGTGGTGTAAGGGCTGACGGGCCAGGAGGAGACTGTAGTCCAAGACGTTGAGCCTCCGCAGGAAGTGTGTGTCGATCTCCACCTGACGCAGGAGCCAGGGACGCTGCTGGTCTGCACACATACACAGACCATATAACATTAACAGAAATACACAGCAAATGTACAGTATGTTTAATACATGAATATAACCACTGGCATTTGCAGTACACACAAGACAAGATTTATTTGAATTAGATGTTTGCACAGGGTTCATTTCAATCATACTGATTGGCCTTAAGGCGGTGCAATAATGCTACCCTTACCACTTTTACATAGCTTCATTTGAGCAAACATCAACCTCACATTCTTACCTAGAGTGATGTACTGGCCTTCAAAGTTGAGATCTTTGAGAACCACAATAATCTGGCTCCCCTCTGGCGCAGGCTCCGTCCAGCGACTCACCTCGCAGCCCTTAATGTCGTACCTGGCAATACAAAACACACATCAAACCACACAAAACTTTTTCTGTGTTCTTAACACTGTAATAATACTACTCATGCTTTGTATTTATTGGGGACAAACAAACCAAGCTTACCTGGCGTTGATTCGATCATCTGGATAAAACACACTTTGCATAACAATGAAGTATTTCTGCAAGTGAAGACATGAAGACGAAATGTGCTTTATAATGCTTTGTAACAAGCTTTGATCATGAGGCCATAGAACAGTGATAAAATTAGATTACCGGTAGTACCTTTCGTTTGTGTGGGATTTTGATCCTGTGAACACCTTGAAAAACAAAAGGAAATCATTCAGTCAGTGCCACATATTATCTGATGACATTTAGAGTTGCTCTGATAAAAGTATTGGAAATTCCTCAGATAATGCCTAAAATTGGTTATCAGGTATCATTGGTATTTTTGCCTGTTGTGACATAATTTCTTGGAATATCTTGAAATGATTCCTATCCCTAAAATCTGTCAACAAAAATGTGAAATTGAGTCATAAATACAAAGATACAAAAACTGGACCTCAAATTTCAAACAAAACATTTCTGGATATAAAAAATTTAAATGTTTTTGTTTTTGACATATGCTCTTCTCTACCCACACATTTTGCACGTATCGTTACATAACGTAACGTAACTACACCCAGCAGCAGAGTACACAGAATAACATCGGCATTTATTTTAGTCATGTTTGTGGCCATTAGATTAATCAAAGTCAAATTATTTAATTATGTTAATAATGTTTTTCGTCTCCACCAACTTCTGACAAAATACCTGCCACTTTAGCTGCTTAATGCTGCTTAATGTTCACCAACTAGTTGCTAAGTTTGTTATCCGGCCCATCTCAACTCAGTGCAGCTTTATTTATATTGCATCTTTCATCCAAACAAATAAATAAACAAAAAAACTAGAGTAGAATTTTTTTTTTTTTCAATATCAATAAATAAAAATCTGTATAATTAAAATAAATACTAAAACAATTACTAGGGATATAAATAATGTAAAAAACAATGTTTAAAACAACTCTTACTGTGTTAAAAGGAAA